TGACTGTTTTTTACTTCAAATGGTTTACAACAACAAAAGCAAAAATGGATTTTCTTAATCTTGATCCTAATTAAATTAGTTTGGCCCATTATATTGACAAAACCACAACACAGTGAGCTGCTGCATGGAGCCCGTAAAGCAGGTCGGGACATCATTTGAACTTTTCAAAGGAGGACTTTTTTGGCTTCTCTTTCTGCCTCTGAGCACAGGAACACTGGCTGGTTCCTCAGGTAGAAACCGTAGCCAGGTACAAGGGAAAACTACTATTTGTACTCCATGACAAGAATTAGGTCCCTTCAGTATAAAACGCCTCACTTCGAGCCTGAGAAGCAAAGCAGCATGTCCAAATCAGATCGTCTAGGCAGCCAGCCCCACGGACAGAGCACTTACTCTCTACCTGTGAGCAAGAGTCTGCCAAGTGAGGAAAGAATTTCTAGGATGAAAACATGGCAGGTGAAGGACTCATCTACAGCAGTGACCGTCTCCCTACACAGAACTATCACTAGGGCAGCTCACAGGCCTTAAAATTCCCTGTTAATGAGTCCAAAACTTAACCATCTACCCAGAGAAGACCAGAAGTAGGGCCTAGCTCCTGCCCAGCGCTGCTCATGAAGCAGAGGGGTCACTCCAGGGGAAGTGAGCCACCGTCCCTGCCCGCAGCTCCGGAGCAGTGGCACAAAGGGGCTCAAGAGGGCAGGCCACAGAACAGACCTCCTCAGCAATCGGGACTGCAGCTGGGACGGAGGGAAGCTCAAGCCCAGGGGAAGTCTTGAAAACAATGGAGATCTTGGTGGAAGCATCTAAGAGGAGGCTAGTAGCTCCATGAGGGCAACAAGCTAAACCGTAGGCTAGCTGGTTTACCAGAGAGAAACAGGAAAAGAGACAGTGAAGAAGAGCCCTCCTGGGGTCAGAACAAACCTCAAAGATGGGCCTCAAAAACTGCTGCTGCAAAGGGGACTAAATTTAATAAATCAAACTATGGAGCAATTTATGCCCTGGGGCACTGCTGAAAACAATACGGTAAACAGTCAGCAATTAGTGGAGCCTAAGAGCTGGATGTGAAACCAACAGAGCTAAAACACCTTAACAGAGCCATCAGGGAAGGTGACAAAGAGAACACTAGTAAGACCACCGTCATCCCAGGGGGACTGTGCAACCACCACGGCTGAGGCCCAAGGGCGTGACGTCAGAGGCTTCTCAAACACATGTGTGTATTCTTTCTTCTCTGAACTGATTTTAAAAGCAATTGTACAAAACAATATGTGTACAATTGTACTGTTGGTACTATAACATATAGAAAAGTAAGATATTTGACAATAGCATCATAAGGAAGGTGGATGGGAACAAAGCTGAACTACAGTAAGAAAATTGTATTAGATAGTAACTCAGATCCACAGGAACAAATGAACAGAACCAGAAATGGAAAGTCAGGTTAATTTTAACAAATTATAAACAAACACCTGTTCCTATTCCTCTTCTCAGCTTTATAAAAGACATAAAATCATATAAGGTAATAATTATAACATATATTGAGCTTATAACATGTATGTTATAAATAGCACAAAAAGGGGGACTAGAGCTCAGCAGGAGTAACATTTTTATACCTCACTGGAATCAAGTTAGTATAAATCTGTAGTCACTCCTGTGAGTCAAGATGTATACGGTAAGCCCTAGAGCAGCTACTACACCTCAAAAATATACAGTGAAAAAATCATTAAAGGAATTGAAATGTTACCCTAGAAAATACTCATTTAATGCAAAAGGAAGTAGTAAAGAAATAAAAGAACAAAGACATGAAACATAGAAAAAAAGTTAAATGAAGACATAAATCCAACTCTATCAATAACAACATTAAATATGGACGGATTAAACACTTCAACTAAGTGGGAGAGACTGTTCTCCTTCCAAATTAAAAAAAAAAAAATCCAAATATATGGTATCTAAAAAAGACACACTTGAAACTCAAAGACACAAAGAGATTGAAGATAAAAAGGATGGTATAGAAGTATCATGCAAACAGGAACCAGAAGAAGACGGAATGGCTACACCAATATCAGACAAAACAGATTGTAAAATAAAAAATCCTACTAGAGATATAGATAATCCACAGAATGAAAAAAATATTTCTAATCACATATGTGATGAGGGACTTGTATCTAGTCCCTTAAAAAATAGGCAAAAAAATTATAAATGGGCAAAAAATGTGAATAGACATTTCTTCAAAGAAATACACAAATTGCCAAAAAACACATGAAAAGATGCTCAACATCATTAGCCATCAGGGAACTGCAAATCAAAACCTCAATGAGGGAACTCCCTGGTGGTCCAGGGGTTAGGCGCTTTCACTGCTGTGGCCCAGGTTCAATCCCTGGTCGGGGAACTAAAATCCCACAAGCCTCGCAGAGCAGACCAAAAAAAGCCTCAATGAGATAACCACTTCACACCAACTAGGATGGCTAAAATTAAAAAAAAATAATAATAAAGGAATAAACGAGTGTGGCCGAGCATGTGGAGAAAGTGGAACCCTTGCATACTTCTGATGGGAATTTAAAAAGGTGTCGCACTTTGAAAAACAGGCTGGCACTTCCTCAATAGGTAAACACAGAGTTACCCTATGACCGAGCAATTCCACTCCTAGGTATACACCCCAGAGAAATGAAAACATATGTCCACATAAATACTTGTCCACAAATGTCCATAGCAAAACTTTCTATAAAAGCCCCAAAATGAAAACAACCCAAAAGTCCATCAATGGATGAAAAGAGAAACAAAATTTGGTATAGCCATACAATGAAATATTAATTGAGCCATAAAATGGAATGACGTACTGACACATGCTACAACATGGATGAACCTTGAAAACATCATGCTAAGAGAAAGAAGCCAGTCAACAAGAGACCAGCATTGTACAATTTCATTTATATGAACTGTACAATACTGATTGTAGACTAAGGAAATCCAGAGACAGAAAGTGGAATATGGCTGCCTGGAGCTGGGGTGTCTGGGGAATAAACGAGGAGTGACCACTGTGGGAATGGGGCTTCTTCTGGGGATGATGAAAATACTCTGGCGCTAGTGAGGCTGGTTGCACGACTCTGTGAATATACTAAAAACCCCTGAATCATATACTTTAAATGGGTGACTTATAATGGCATGTGAATTACACCTCAATAAGGCTAATATAAAGAGAAAAGCACAGTACAGAGTCCTGACTTACAAAATGTTATTTCATGTTATTTCTTAGAAACTACATTCAGTGAGATAACAAATTCGCCCATGTGAAAAACAACATCATTTCAAATGTCTCTGAAAACTCCATATGAATTCAGTTAGATGTCAGGTAAATAAAATGCTATGAATAAAGTAAAAGAATTGATCAAAGCCAAATATACTCACTTGTATGAAATCAAAGTACTAAACACAGAAAATTCATACCGGTGGGAAAGTTTATGATAGCTTATACAAACTTTCCCACCTGTATGAATTTGCTATAAGCATGTGATACTATAAAATGAATCATTAAAGCAAAACTATTTGGCTACAATAAAGAAATCCATTATGTATTTCTATTTAAACACAAGGTCAAATCATGTACCCAGAGTTCAGTACTACCGATGATAGTGAATGTAAATTTAAGCCTTTTTAAAAAAGCCTCAATCATACCTTATGCCTAAATACAGAACACTGCCCTAGAGCCTGTCCAGATGTTAAGTGGCACTCATCTTTTCAGACTTGGCTCCGATGTCACTTCCTTCAGAAAAACCTCCCTAACCTCCAGTCCCACACTAAGGTGGCCTTCCTTACTAATCCAACAGCGCTGGAACTGCTCACCCATCTGTCTCCCCAATTACGATTATGAACTTTCGCACTGAACTAGGTCTGCAAGAATGGACTCCACCAGAGGCCTGAAGCCCAAAAGGGGGTGAGGGGGTTCCCGGGGACACATCAAACATGTCAGGGTGTTTTGGCCCAACTATCCATACCTGGTAAGCAGGCAGGCACAAAGCCAGAATCTCAAGGGTAGTAGGAAAGAATAACGCTGAGAAAGGAATTAAGACCTCCTGGGAATATCAAAGGGAACTTCTTGCACCTTTCAGAATCCTTACCTGTAAATGCTACCACCCACAGCTATAGGTCTCAACGGGGAACTTATGGAAGCACTTCTCAAATCGGAATGTGCACATGTATCACCCGGAGACCTAGTTCAAAACGCAGATTGTGATTCAGTAGGTCTGAGGGGAGACATGAGAGTCTGCATTCCTGGTGACGCTGATGCTGTTGGTCTGCAGACCACACTTTACCGAGAAAGGCTCTGCGAGATCCAGAAGTCAGCATTCTCTCAGGGAACATGCAGCATTAACTCCTGCCTTATTAATCATCTCTTTTAAGCTAACACATCCTATGTCATTAAAAAAAAACCAAAAAATCAAAACTTCAATCCTTCTGCATCTGTTGTCATCTTTCTTCCAAAACATCACTGTCCGACTGTGGAAAGTATGCAATCCCTTATTCATCTAAATATCTCCAGCTGGAAAATACAGGCCCTCAATAAATGCATGTTAAATGATGCTCTATGTAACCTCAACACATTCAGCTTTTTCCCACATGCTTCTTCTTAAGATATATTTGTTTATTGGTCCGTCCTTCCCGTTTGATCATCAATTCCTTGAAGACAGAGACTCCTCCCTGTGTGCTGTGGCACAGTCTGGCACAAAGAGCACTCGGTGACGTCTGCTGTCTTAGCCCAATGACTGATGTGTAAACACAATACACTCAGGTTCCTGGAGAGAACACTGAGTAAAAACATATCCTTTTTTCTGAGGGATTTAAAATGATCACATGTATAACTTGTTTTCACAAAAGTTCAGTAGTACACAATGTAAGGATCATCAACTCTACTTAACAGATAAGAAAATGGAATAAGAAGGTTATATATTGATATTATGCTTCTTCATAGACAACCTCATCAACATAGGAAAAAAACATTTAGCAAAAGGTACCTCGGTCTTCCCACATTCATCAGGCGGGTCCTGGTGTATGGCCATTTGATACTTGACATATAAAGAAAATGACTGGCTGAAGGACGACTTGAACTCGGGGTCCTCAAAGGAGACAGGTACTAGCCTCACCTTCAGAGCAAGGAAGATACAAGCAAACGCTACTGAAACACCTCTACCTGATGATATGCTTCTGAAGGTGAGGCTAGAGTAAGATCTCCGCAAATCCACTTCCAAAGCTCAGTGCTGGAATTTCTATAAAACGAATAAACCTAGGGACAGGTTGACTAGCACGGAGCGTGAAGCACGAACTGTGCACCAATATTCATGAAAAATTTAAACTCACAAGGGCCGGGACAATTTCTTTTTGTTTTTTTTTTCTCTATCTACCTGTTGTGGTTTTCTGCATACAGCAGAGTCAATATTGCTCCTCATGTTAATTGCCACTACCTGTGTCACCTCTACTTATATTAAGGGTTTTAAACTTTTTCCCCTTCCAGATTTTTCTTGGGTAATTTGATTTGTAAAATTATAAGTATATGAGGACTTCAATTAAAACATTCTACTATCTTACTTTTCTAGTCCCACTCAGTTGTGTATGGGCAGTACATCAACGAAGAGTAATTTATTTGTTATGAACTTTTTCTACACGACTTTTAAATGGAGATAAAGCATATTAACTGTGTTGTACAAAGTATGCCTACCATATAGTGGGTTTTTTTTTTTACTTTTTTCTCATAAATATTTTAACTTAGAGATTGCCTTTTCACTAACTCTTAAATAAATGCATCTAAACACAGTGACTTTAAATAGAGATACTTCATTTTACTTTCCATTCTGAAATTATACATGAAAGGCTCTTAACATGGCATCAGGTAAAATCTGCACTTTCAGAATGTCCAGTGTTCCATGGTCCTATCGCTTTGCAGATACACTGCAAATTGAATATAAATTAAATGTACCACAAATAAACCAAGAATTCACACAGTGATATCAAATAGAGGGGAAAGTTGCGTTTGCACAGAAAAATTACACTTGGCCTGCTGACCTGGCTCACAGTTGGTTTATCAGGTGGGTCCTTGTGAATAACCATCTGGTAGCGTTTATAGACCTGGTAAGACTCCTGAAATGTGGCTTTGAACTGAGAACTTGGTGGAGATGATCTCACCACCCTCACCTTCAGAAGGAGTTAAAAAACAATGTTCATTAATTCATTTATTTATTCCATGGAATATGCATTAAGTTATTCCCACCCAAAAAAGCCCCAAAGTTCCAATATAAATATTAAAGCATGAACATATAACGGTAATATTTTAACATTAAAAATCAACCAGTTAGTGAATAAAGAAAAGAAGTTATTTCTCCAAATTACAGACTCATTAAGAAGGCAGAGGATCCTGTCCAAATTCTAAGACTAAGCTCTTAGACTGACTGAATTATGTAAGACTGCCTCTATTGTAAAACAGTAGAATACTTCTGGCACTCAAGACACAGACACAAATAAATACTCTTTAATACTAGCTGTACACAACTCACCTTCAGTAAAACAATCCAAAAGACTGAAAATGTGAATATATTTTTTGGACACTCTTTCATGCATCATTAACTCTACACTTACAACTTTCTTCTGTAAGTGTAAAAGACAATCCTCAAAAAGTGTTCCTATTTCGTGGCATAGTTTAAAATGAAGACTCTAAGGTCAGATTCCCTTTACTCAAATCTTAAAGGCACCATTTTAGTCAAGTAAATAAATTAACTTCTCTGCGCCTTAGTTTCCTCATATCTAAAATGAGGATGCATTAAAAGCAGTAATTGTACATAGTAATGGCTAACATTTATTTTAACGTTATTTACTAACCAGTTAAAATATGTTAGCAAAATAGAAGAGTAAAACACGAAATCAAATGTAATACAGCAGAAAGGCGTAATTGGAAACTTCTTGTTTCCAACTGCAAACTTCTTGTGCCACGAGAAGTAGTTGCTCTCATGAAAGAGTGACACCCAGGGGATAGCAAAAATCTATCCATCCTGGATATCATTACATTAAAAAAGTAAAAGGTGCCTACTGAAGAACTGTTATATTAGGTGTGCCTGGTGCCCTGAATACATTACTATTTGATCAAAAGATAAAAACCTCTTGATAAACTATTTTAAGTATTCAATAGTATGTTCCATTCTCCTTACAATTTGGGAAGGAGAAAGTCAATACCAAAACAGAGTAGCCAAGGAATTATAATAGTCAAAGTTGTTAACACTTATATCTGATAATATATATTGTCCTAAGATTTAAACTGCACCAAAGTAAATGTTTAATATCAGGTTTTTCAGTGATAAGTGATGCTCTTAGATTATATTAAGCTGTAAATTCAAAGGCTGACCAGTTATTAATCAGGTAGGAGAATATAATAAAATCATTATGGCTAATGTTTTAGAAAAAAATTTTATAAATATACCAAACTAATACTGAAAAATCTAGACTTCACCTGGAATATAAATCAATTTGGGAAAAATAAGAGGAATACTCTTAAGACTAGGCATACTCACACTATGCCTAAATTGGTTTGGGGGGAATTAATGAGATGATTATAGTAGTACATTTAGGACTGTTTAGTTAATTCCTAACTGTTGGCTTGCATATGTAATACCATTTGCTGCCTTGATCAAGATCATAAAATGAGAATGGATGAAACAGTGACTTGCCTACTGTGATCTATTCTCTTTCACTACCTAAACCAAAGCTGCCAAAAATGAAATTTTAAAACAGTATCTTTTATTTTTCACTCTACTAAATTTCAATCAAGAGATACAAAAAGCCAGAGTACCTCAAATAACAACACACTAAAACTAGAATTTTCACAACTTTAGTAGCCAATTGCCTACTTTTTAAATCCTAAAGAAAAACAAAAAGGTTTTTCTAAAGTACCAATTAACTTAGTAAATATAAATGCCACTCCATCCCAATTCACTTTAATTTCCCATTATATAAACAGCAAAACATCAACCGTATGATCTCAAGTGAAAAAAAACAAAGTAGCTAACAAACAAACAAAAAACACCTTCCAAAGTACCTCAAACTTGTGTGATGCACTCTCTGGTAAAGATTCAAAAATTAAATCTTCAAGTGACTTGGGCTGGTTGGATTTAGCCTTTGGTGGGAACAAAGACGGTGGCTGACACCGAACCTGGAAACCCTCCAGTTCTCCACCTGGGTTCTGCTGCATGAGTTTTAACCTTTTCCTTTCTTTCCGGATTTCCTTTGCTTTTCGACATGGAGGCTTACTCAAATCTGCCCCTTTGCCTAAAAAAGAATTTCAAAATATTAGACCAATCACTTTTGGCTCTAGAAATATTTTTTAAAGGTCTCAAAGGTTCCACAAAATCAGTACAAACAGTTCCAACTGTTAGGTTAGCTTCGGGTAGACGTTTCAGAGGCTCATGGTGTAGACCCCTAAGTTGATCTTTAAATTCTACCTTCGAAGAAGAACTGCCAGAGAAAGTAAATAGTAACAGAAACTTTTCAGGCAGCTCGTATTGTTGAAACATTTTCTTTTACATATTCATCCACTTCTCTGCCTTTGTAAAAGGAACATAATCAAATACCTTCTGCTTCACGACACTGCTGTCTCCAGCCCATTTCTGAGGGACATTTCTCTGAAACCTAAGCATTTATCACTGGTGACAGAGATAAATGCTTAGGAACCAGGTGTAAATGAGGACTGATCCCAGAACATACTCCGGCAGGTTTTTTTTAATGAAAAAATATCCTTGCTTAGTTCAAGATATTTGTGTCCTTCTCTATCTAACTGGGTGGGGGGGGGTGTCTCATTAGTTTTGCTCCAATTTGAGTTTTGTTTTAATTAAAAGAGCAAATATCAAACTGATAATCCTTTAAAATATAACAATTTTTACTACTATAAACCACAAATTTTAGTGAGTACCCTTCAATCTAGGAAGTTGTTTTCAAGGACTCTATCCCAAGAAAATCATAAGAGATAGAGGCAAATAATGAACACAAATGAAAACCTCAAAGTAATCTAAATGCTCAATTATAGAATTACACAATTTTTAAAATAAGCAACAGAATATCAAACAGCCATTTTAAATGCTGTAGAAATTTTAGGGGATTTGTCATTATTCAATGTTAAAACATGGGCTTCCCTGGTGGCACAGTGGTTAAGAATCCACCTGCCAATGCAAGGGACACGGGTTCCAGCCCTGGCCTGGGAAGGTCCCACATGCCACGGAGCAACTAAGTCCGTGCGCCACAACTACCGAGCCTGCGCTCTAGAGCCCACAAACCACAACTACTGAAGCCCACGTGCCTAGAGCCCGTGCTCTGCAACAAGAGAAGCCACTGCAATGAGAAGCCCGCGCACCAGAACGAAGAGTAGCCCCCACTCGCCGCAACTAGAGAAAGCCACGCACAGCAAGAGAGAACCAAAGCAGCCAAAAGTAAATAAATAAATTTATTAAAAAGAAAACATTATGTATAAATATATATAATTAAAATATTTAGGAAAAAACCTGGAAAGAAATATATCACCATGTTAACAGTCATTTTACTTGGGTTTAGAAATTTTAAAAAAGGACTTTCCTCCTCCTTTTTTTTTTGTAGTGTTCTCTTTTCTCCAATTTTTCTAACACTAAACATAACTTTGTAATTTTTTTAAAAGCCACTAATTAAAGAAAAACACTTTTTTAAAAATTTAGGATCCTGAAACAGTATTCACAAATCATATAAAAGTCAATTTTACAGAGAAGAAAATTAAGACGTAGAGTGTTAAGGGACTTGTCAGAGACCAAGACCTAGTCAAAAGAAACTAATTTGATGAGAAAACAGTGATAGTGAGACCATATAATACAACTTCACTACATGTTTTCCAACTAAAAACAAAATTTACCTACTAAAAAAAAAAACTCTGAATGAGTCTAATAAACCAATAACAAAAAACGAATTCCATAATTAGCCATCACTCTGTTGCCTTAGAGAATTAATTTTCTTTGGCCAGGGAATGCGTCTTTTCTCAAATTTGTCCTGAGAGGCACAACAGCCTGTTGGTCAAGAGCACACACGCTGACATGGGCTATCTGAGGTGAGCTCTGTCACACCTGCCTAGATGACCTTGGGCAAGTTTCTTCGTCTATACAAGAAAGATAATAACCAGTCCTAACGGTGGAGTTCCTAAAGATTAAATGTGTTAATGCACGTGCAGCTCATAAAACTATATCCACTGTTCAATTAAGGGTCATCTATTTTTTGGTACAGATGAACCTATTTGCAGGGCAGGAATAGAGACATAGACGTAGAGAACAGATGTGTGGACACAGCAGGGGGAAGAGGAGGGTGGGACGAATTGGGAGATTAGGATTAACATATATACACTACCATGTGTAAAATAGATAGCGGGAACATGCTATAAAGCACAGGAAGCTCAGCTCGGTGCTCTGTGACGACCTAGATGGGTGGAATGGGGGGTGGAGTGGGAGGGAGGTCCAAGAGGGAAGGGGGTGTAGGTATACATAGAGCTGATTCACTTCATTGCACAGCAAAAACACAACATTGTAAAGCAATTACACTCCAATTAAAAAAAAGGGTCATCTATTTTTATTAGCTATTATATGTATCAGCAATACCTAAAACAATGTTTCATTTCACCTATCAACATCCCGTAAATAGTAATAAGGAAAAATACCTGCATTTCCTAACAGCTACTGAAAATTATATTCCTACCAAAGTTTTAAAATTATGAACAAATTATAAAACTATCTAGAGTGAACTGAGAAACAACTTTTCAGTATTTTAATGAAAGACCACCTATGTCATCTTTACACTAATTAATTCACTGGACTAAGCAATCCTTACCGTGATTGTTTCACACTATATTTATGTACTGTCACACTGCAAACTGCAATGGGCAGCAAATTAGGATTTCAGTTTATTTAGGGGATACAGATTTCCCCAAATCAATAAATTCTTTCAGCAGAAAGAAAACAGATCATCAGTATAAAATCAGTACACCTGGGACTTCCCTGGTGGCGCAATGGTTAAGAATCCGCCTGCCAATGCAGGGGACACGGGTTTGATCCCTGGTCCGGGAAGATCCCACATGCTGCGGAGCAACTAAGCCAATGCACCACAACTACTGAGCCTGCGCTCTAGAGCCCACGAGCCGCAACTACTGAAGCCTGTGCGCCTAGAGCCCATGCTCCGCAACAAGAGAAACCACTGCAATGAGATGCCCGCGCACCGCAACGAAGAGTAGCCCCCGCTCTCTGCAACTAGAGAAAGCCCGCACAGCAATAAAGACCCAATGCAGCCAAAAATAAATAAATAAAATAAAAGTAAAAAAAAAGAAAGAAAGAAAAATTAGAAATTTAAATAATGGATATTCAGCAACATTAAGGAATTTTACTTAGGTGCAATAACGGTATTGTGAATGTTTTTTAAAGTACTTAGTTTTTAGAGATGCACTCTGAAATACAGCATGATATAATGTCTGGAATTTGCTTCAATACAATACTGGAAGAGTAAGAATGGCCAATCATTTCAAAAACAAACAAACAAGCTCATAGAAAAAGAGATCAGATTTGTGGTCAAGGGGGAGACTGGATGAAGTCAAGTCAAGAGGTATAAATTTCCAGCTGTAAGATAATATCACTACTTGAGATGTAATGTACAACATGATAAATATAATGAACATGGCCGTATGTTATAGATGAAAGCTGTTCAGAGAGTAAATCCTGAGTTCTCTTCACAACAAAAAATTTTTTTTTCTATTTCTTTAATTTTGTACCCATCTGAGACGATGGATATTCACTAAACTTATTGTGAGAATCACTTCACGATGTAAGTCAGATCATTATGCTGTACACCTTAAACTTATACAGTGCTGTATATGTCAATTATAACTCAATAAAACTAGAAGAAAAAAAAGAGTGGACATCATGAGTCAATAATTGTTTCAAATGAGGGAAGGGTACCTGGAAATTCATTACAATATTCAGTCTACATTTGTCTCTGAAATTCTCCAAAATGAAGGTTTTTCAAATTTTATAAACTATAAGTAATTTTTATAATAACTAAAAATGGTAAACAAACTGACCGACCCTAATGCCCAAGAGAGTAAGAGTTGAAAGAAACGATCTAAACCATTCAAAATATTTTATTGGACTATTCTTATCAATTAGGATGAAATCTCGGACAAACAATTTAAATGCCATGAGATTTTTAGATTAAAAAAAAAGGGCAGGCTTCCCTGGTGGCACAGTGGTTGAGAGTCCGCCTGCCGATGCAGGGGACACGGGTTCATGCCCCGGTCTGGGAAGATCCCACATGCCGCGGAGCGGCTGGGCCCGTGAGCCATGGCCGCTGAGCCTGCGCGTCCGGAGCCTGTGCTCTGCAACGGGAGAGGCCACAGCAGTGAGAGGCCCGCGTACCACCAAAAAAAAAAAAAAAAAACTATTCAGTAAAAACGCAAAGTTTTCTGTGCTTTAACACATGTAACTTTTAAACAAAAAACTATAATAATATTAAAAAGTCTCTCCCTTGGATTTTGTATAAATAAATATAAGAACAAACTCAAGAACTGAAGAATAACTGCAAATTTACATTTAATGAAATAATTTTGAAAGAGTCATACATATGTGCACACGTATATATAATAAATCCATTTAACGCTGGATAAATTTTCTAAGCCTAATTCTTTTATAAGTGATAATACAGAAAGAAGTCTCACCTTATTAAAGGTGAGATTAAATAGCAACATGTGGAAATTTTTTTTTTTTTTTTTTTTGGCTGAGCAGCTTGCAGAAGCTCAGTTCCCCAACCAGGGACTGAACCTGGGCCACGGCAAGGAAAGCCTGGAATCCTAACCACCAGGCCCACCAAGGAACACCCTGGAAATTTTTCTTTTTAATCTGGAAGTTTTCAAACTAAAATTAATTTTGATTGCATAAAGAAATCTAATGATAAAGTGAAGAATTTCACAATGTCTATATGTAAGACATAATATCTAAAACTTACTTTGTCTCATTTAACACTAAAAATAAAAATGTTTAGCACCATACCCTCTCACTGACAAAAATTTTATTCTCAAACCTCTAAGCCCTTAAGGTAGTAAAAATAAATGGAACTCTTTTAGAATGTCTGTGTTAGGGGATAATAAGGCTATTATTTCAGGTTTTTTAAACAATTTGTTCACCTAAATCCAGGTAATAATAAGGTATATAAAACAGGGATCTATTTCACAGATTTCATGAGTAATTCACTTTTTTAGCTCATGAGAGCGCCCAGGGATTACAATGTCTCAAGCACAAAGAAAATTATTTAATACGACTTTAATGTGGCCTGATAACAAACTTTCAATACCTGGCTGAGGAGCTGTATGCACTTTTACTGAATGTGATGGTTCACCAGAGTCCAACTTCTCCTCCATATCTTGTGACTGGATTAACTCATTAGATTCCTCCCTCTCTGAGCTCTTTCCTTTCTTCTTCTCTTCACTCTTTACACTCTCTTTGAGGTCATCACCGAGCGTTTTAAGGTCACACTGTATATCCAATTTATTTATTAATGCAAAGTCACTGGCAACGGCATCCTCCATGGTGGGCTCCATGGGCTCATCTATAAATCAAAACAGATCAAAGTCCATCAGCCAGGCCATTTGACACAATTAAAACACACACAGGAAAAAAAAGCCCCCTTTTATCCAATGTGGCAGAGACGACTGCGTGTCCACCAGATCCATTCTCCCATCTTCCAAGGTCAGGGCTGCGGTTAAGACTGTGGCACCCTGGCAAGGGAGCGTGTCAGTCCCTTCACAAGGTGTAATCAAGCTCTCGCCAATGGAACAGAACCAAACTGACATGTTCAATTTTGCCTCACTTGTTTTAAAGGAAATTTGTAACCCTGAAATTCCGCCCTTTCCCCTCCCCACTGGCTCGATTAGTAAAAACCAGAGCAACCTTGAAAATCACATGTTGAAGAGAATCCCAGAATGGCAGGGGTGGGGGATGGGGAGGGGGGAGCAGGGCTGCAGGCCGACCTGGAACACCCACACTGGACTGTTATGTGAGGAAAGAAACAGACTTCTATCATTTTGTAGTCACCGCATTTTGGTGTCTCTTTGTTACAGCTGTTTAGTCTCTTACCCTAATGAGTACATCACTCCTATGAATTGAGTGCAGACATAAATAATTCAGAAGCCTACAAGTCAAATAAAAAACCAAATGTAAAAGCTACATAAAAAAACAGGCCATCCTCAATGTACTAATGGAAAGCATCCTCAAAACTTATCTAAGTATTAATTTTTGAAACTCAGAACATGATTCCTGGCTGCTGAAAAAAACTGCATAATGACTAACCACGAAAATCTGTTTAACCTTTAAGGTTATATACTGACAACACTAAACAGAGTTACACCACAATTCTGATGATTCCAGTATGACCCAGAGCCTTCTGGCCTCTCTGCTGCCAAGTCTGCTCCAAGCTGTCCTGAGTTCTCTGTTAAGCACAGTGCACGAGGGCAAAGAACAAACCTGCTCTGCTGGCCACTGTATCTCCAGTGCTTAAAAGAGGGACTAGAACATCGCAGGCATTCAAAACATACTTGGGGAATGAAGTAACAAGCTAAGACAGGGGTGGGAGGCTCCCAGAGTTAGGCATTTCCTATGGCAGAAGTGAGAAAGAGCTCTAAGAATGGGTGGCATTCCCAATTCTTATGGTCATGTATTAGGTAGTGCCTATAGGAAAACATTAAAAAAAAAAAAGGCAGCAAAAACACTGAAAAAGCAAAGTATCTGTAACCCAAGTTAATTAAATGTTACTAATGGTCTTTTAGGAAATCCACTCACAATTCAGAATTCATCTGAAAATAAGAGACAACTTCAGGCAATATAATTTACTAAAAACCTTACTCAAACATGGAAACTCTGAGCTTCACTCAGCATTGTGATTACGCAATCTTGTGTGAGTTGCAGATAAGCATCTATTTCTCCAGAGACAGTATCACTTTCTACTTATTTCATAAGGGTATTATTAGGATCAAATAAAATTAAGAGTTCTCGAAGAATTGTGAAAACTAAAATTTCAATAAACTCCAGGAAATCACATCTTTAAAATGGTCCTTTCTTCTTCCCAAGCTAGACTTTCCCTGGCATATATTCCCCATATCCTTGATTTGGGGGCCAGTGGTAACAGTAACAGCAGAGCTAAGAGCAGTCATCATCATCAGAGTAACAGTAGTACCTGACTGTATTGGACCTCCTTCCCCTATCTAAGAAATGACTGAGTGTGAGAACCTTGGAAAGAAACATCTATTTGAGGTAAACAGTTTTTAGACCCCCATCTCATCTTACCCTCACAATTTCCTTTTGAAATTTCCCCTTTAGCCAGAAATTTCAACATTTTTTTCAAAACCTTCTTGTGAGATTTTGATGGCTGAAACTGTAAAGGTCGGCACCTAGGAAAGCAAAATAAATATTTAAAAAGTGAACTCAAACTGTGAAGAAATAAAATCAGTGCTGAATAATAGGACAGGGTTTAATGTAGCCTCTAATCCCACCCCAAATCTCACAAAAGTACAGTTAAAGGATTATAAAAAAAAAAGAAAAAGACATAAACCACTAGGAAAAAAAAATAATGGGAGAAATGTTGGAAGCTAGAAAGCAGATGTGCAAGTGATAACTGACTTAGCAGACCAAAGAAAAGTTGAATCCTAAGCCAAAAGTGGGAAAAGCCAAAAAAATATCCAATTTTCTCTACATTACCCCTAAAAGTCTCAGGGATTGGCCATACCTGACACCCTGGGAGATGAGAGTGAAAATAGGAAGACCCCTTGAAAGTCTGTTTTGGAAGCGATTTATATATCTGATACTCTCCCCCACTCTGCACATATGACTCTCTACACAACCCAGCAGAAAACTGCAAACTTTTCAGAAAAGGGAAAAATAAGGCCTCTTACTTGAGGGATACAGGCACAGCTGAAAGGAATGGAAGTGTACTGCAAACAGTAAGCGTAAAAGGAAGTATACATGCTGAATGTTGAGACCTCCAAGACCCACTTCTCCAACCCAGCCCCAGAACATCAGTAGATGATACTTCCTTTCCAGAATGTGATCAGAACTAAAAATACTGACCTCAGAGATTCTCCCAAAGAACAGGCTAGCCAGATCACCCTACTTAAAGCCCACAGTAAACGAGACCCACCAGGGTACATAAAATTTCCAGTGGAACACTGGAAGGTTGGAATCACCAGACACTTGAGGAGGGCCTCTAAAACAAAGATAGGTGCCAAAAACCTGGAGAAAGTAACTTGGAGGATAGAGACATACAGTATACAGGAAGAAGGGAATCTCAAAAAATTTAAGAGTCCAAGAACAAAAATCCCTCTTAGAAGTAAAAATATAATAATAAGATATAATAAGAAGAAATTAAAAGTTAAATAGAAGACAGAAGACTTGGAAAATAAAGGTGAGGAAATCTCCCAAAAGACATGGAAAACCGAAGAGAAAAAAAAATTAGAGTACCAGTCTAAAAGTTCCAATGTCTGAATAAAGACATTAGAGAAGAGAAAGAAGTTAATGGAAAGGAGAGGATCAATAAAATACAAGAAAATTTCCCTGAACTGGAGGACATGATGGGAGGAGCCCCTAGATAAGAAGGGTCCCTCAAGTCCATATGCAATGAATGAAAACAGACTCACAGCCAAACATACTATGAAACATCAGAACTCTGAAGACAAAAAAACTTCCCAAGAGAAAGAACATGTTTTGGACAAAGGAACAAGAGTCAGAATGTCACTGGACTGCTCAACCGCAGTAAGACAACAATGGAGCAAAGCTTTCAAAATTCTAAAGGAAAATTATTTTCAATCTATACTTCTGTTCCTAGCTAAACTATAAGTTAGGTTTGAGTAGTCAATGAAAACATTTTCAGACAAAGTCTCAAAAAACTTACCTCTTATGCACTTTTTCTCAAGAAGCTATTAGAAGACGTGCTTCACTAAAATGAAGGAATAATACATACAAGAAAGAGGGTAGAAGAGATAAGATCCAAATCAAGACCCAAAGAGAATCCTCAAGATGACAGTAAAAAAGGGATCCTAGGAAGACAGTGATGCATCAGGCACAGAGGCAACCTGTCCAGATCACAGCAGGTCAGAAGATTCCACAAGAGGTTTTCATCAAGAAGATAAAAATGATAGCGTACCTGAAGCATCTAAACATACCAAGAGGAAATTTACACCTCTCAGGGAGCATTTTTAGATAAACTGGTAATAGGAACCTAGAAGACTACGCAAACAAAAATGACAATAATCAACACCAGGAAAGTAAAAACTTGTGCAAGGAAAGAGAAAGAAAGTAATCATGGACTACTACACGGCTGAGCTGCGAAGCTTACTTACACAGCCACAATGAGGTGACTACATCTATCCAAAACGATAATATTTCTAATTTGGGAAGTTTGGGACGAGGACAAACAGGAGCTTGAATGTGACAGGGGAAGAGGGCTGAAATAAAGTTAAATCCTTATCTTTCAAACCAATTTTTTAAAAATCAAGTATTATAATTATATAAGCATGTCACTTAAAGATAGAGATGAAAACCCAGAAGAATCAGTTAAATGATCTGAAAGTGACTGAACTGGGAAAACAGAACATGAGACAGGCGGGAGGGTTTCAGAGGACTGCTTTTTGCAGAATAAGCTTTACAGAACTGTTTGATTCTTTAAATTGTTAGCATATACAACATTGATAAAAATTTTTAAAAAAAAATCCATAGACAGGGAAGTTCATCCTCATTTTTACTCACATACTAGACAGGTCCTAGCAGCTGCCTAACAAGAAGCTAAGTTGTAGGCTAGACCACCTTGCCCTTACATAAGGCCTCACTGTAACTACTGCAGTAAACAAAGTAAAATAACCAAAAGAATATGCAAAATGACTCCAAGAGATCAACATATAAAATAAAGTTGTATAAAGAATAACGATCAGGGACTTCCCTGGTGGTCCAGCGGTTAAGACTCTGTGCTCCCAATGCAGGGAGCCTGGGTTCGATCTCTGGTCAGGAAACTAGATCCCATATGCCGCAACTAAAGATCCCGCCAGTACTCAGCAACTAAGACCCAGCACAGCCAAATAAATAAATCAATATGTAAAAAAAATAAAATAAAACAAAGCTTCCACTCTTGTGTATATTGTTTAAAAAAAAAGCATAACAATTCAGAAAATGTTTGATTCCATGTAAAATTATTAAATAAGTCACATTTTATAATTACTTTCTCTTGCAATGTTAACTGAATCCCTTTTCATAAAGGCAACATACCTGGAATGGTGCTCTGTATGAGACAGGCACCCAGTAAATTATAAATGCTTTTATCTTTTTCTTTAACCCACTGAAATTGGCCTTTTCTGAATAGAGATTCTCAGGGTTCAGGCCAATCAATTTCAGACTTATTTCAACAAAATCCCAGCCATAATCCAGTAATAAATTGTTACTAGAAGGAAAATGACTTCTGTCTTTGAAGATGTCACCACTTCATAAACACTATGCTGAAAAAGCTACTCTGTCGTTTTATACTAAATGAGATGCTGTCAGCAAACCAGACATCCATCTTTTCCCCTTATTGTACCAGTCCTTTGACCAATTATGTAAGAGAAAGGATTCTTAACCAGGAAGCAGTGAATTATTCAAAGTCAGTGATCACCCTAAAACTAATATGTTAGATGTTACATTATTTTTGTCTATACAGCTCCCTGTCTTGTTTTGTTTTGCTGCAGAGAGGATCTGCAACCATCAAATTCTCAAAACAGTCTACAACCCCAAAACAAGTTAAGAGTAATTAAGGGAAAAAAAAAAAAAGAGTAATTAAGGGAGACAGCTGTGGAGACATGCCAAGCATGATGGACACAACTGTGTTTGTGTTTTTATCTAGAGTATACATACACATTGAAACTGCAGACATATGCCTCACAATGTTAAAGTACCTTCCCTATTTTCTACCAGAAGAAGGGGAAGAGGGAGGGGAAGAGGAGGACCTTCATAATCAGAGAAGGGAAAAATCCTCCCATGTTAGGGCAGAGTAAGGGGGGCACAGGGGAAACACAAAATATTAAGAAAAATCAAGCAAACACTCTGTAGGAAAACAGACTTTTAGTTCGAGTTTTCCAGTGAAGAAAACTAGACTCTGAATAGACGCAGATAAGTGTCAGCCCTCCTCCCCCTTATATAGGATCCTGTGGCATTGCCTGAATGAAACAACTGTTGTCAATACACCAGAGAACTGCAAAGCCATAAGCTAAACTGATAAAAATTTGATATCTAAAATTAATTTAAGTATTTGCCAATATTCTCCCAATATTTCACGTATTATTGACTAGATTGCTAAATAGTGTATTTTTATACCATATTTATATCTAAACCAAACAGTATTATTAAAAGCTATTGATCGGCACAGGAATATAGTATGAGTATGTAGAAAAAAATCTGTTTGCTTTTCTTTATGAAGAATGTTTACCTAGACAGAAACAGACACTTCAAAAAGCAAGAGTCTACTAAAAAATTATACACAATCTTCATATTAATAGAATATATTATATTAATCAAAATTCTTACCTTATTGTGTACTGAGGACAACATGTTTGATTCATGACAGGTTTGTACACATATTTCCCACTTCTAAAATTATAAAATAGTTTTGTTAAGTTCGTACACATTTCTCATATGTAGCAAAGTCGATTAGTACAGGAGTACAAAATTAATTAGGGTAAAAATCTAATCAACAGTGTAAAAACATTTAGGTTTAGTTACTTTTCATAAGCTAAATGATCTTGCAACGTGGGTATACCAAGGACCAGAGTCTAGGTTTTTCTTTTCTGAACGTTTACATATGTATTCCACGGTTAATCACCTCAATTACCCTCTCACCTGCATCTGCAGTCCCTTCCATGCCTCGATCTACCACCCACCCTCAATAGCAAAAGGGCAGTCAGAGAAAACTGCCCAGGATGCTGTGGGACTGATGTGTGCTGTTGCCTATGACATCCACACTTGGGGGTTCCATGGGCACCAGCACGATGAACCCTCAAACCAATCTAATCCTTTCCATGCCTTCTGGATCTCAGTTAATGCAGAGTCATACATTTACGAGCTGAATTTTGTCCAGATTTAAATGTGCCCTAATCCAATCTGACTGGTATCCTTATCAGAAAAGGAAATTATACACAAAAAGGAACAATAAACAAAACACTAGGGATGCACACACAAAGAGAAAGGACCCTGTGAGGACACAAGAAGGCAGCCAGGTGCAAACCAAGGAGAGAGGCCTCAGGAAAAACCAAAGCTGCAGAGACCTGGATTTCGGACTTCCGACCTCCAGAAATGTGAGGAAATAAATTTCTCTTGCTTAAGCTGCCCAATCTGTGGTATTTTGTCAAGGCAGCCCTAGCAAACACACATGAATTCAGGTCCCGAGCCGAAAACCTGCGAGTCCTCCTAGACTCTTCCCTCTAATGCACCTCCATATCCTGCCAGCAAGCGCTCTACTTCCAAAATGCCTCAAAAATGTGTCTTATGATCCATCCGATCCATCTCCTGATACACAGTCACTGCTACTGACCATGACAGCGGTCCTCACCACCTCACACATGGACACCGCAATAATCTCTGGAACTAATGGTCCTGCCTTCAGAATCACCCGCTCAGACACCTCTCTGCTATCTGAATGATCACTTCCAAATCACAAATTCCACCCCTTTTCTCTCTGACATAAAAGCCTTCAATAGCTCCCCTGTACCGTTAATAAAAACCCACAAAACCTCCTTACCATGGCACACGAAGTCTTTCAACATCTGGCCTATATCTGTCTTCATTTTGGGCCCCATTATTATGTTTAAGGAAAGCTGTGAAGTTTCATTTACTGTGCTCAATCCCATGACTTCTGGGGAGTATTGGCACAGGGTACCTAACACTGCTCATACTTACGTAAGGAACCTTACCTAATAGCTATTCTAGAATCATCTACATAAACATAGCTGCCAAAAAACCTCAGCTATCAAAGGCAACGTGTGGACCTTAAGGGAATCCTGATTCAAATAAACCAACTATAAAAAAGAATTTTTTGAGACGAGCAGAAAATCTAATCAAAACTAGGTAACTAGTGACATCAAATGATTATTATTAAATTTGGAAAGTATGGTAATGATATTGTGGAGATGGTAAGAAAGAAAATCCTTCTTAGAAACACATACTTAATACAGGTATAATGACATGATATCTGCAATTTGGTTTAAATAATCTTGTGGGAGGAGGGGAAGGGGGGAGTATCTTATTCTGCTTGAGCCGCTATAACAAAATGCCATAGAGGGGACTTCCCTGGTGGCACAGTGGTTAAGAATCCACCTGCCAAGGAAGGGGACACGGGTTCGAGCCCCGGTCTGGGAAGATCCCACATGCCACGGAGCAACTAAGCCCGTGCGCCACAACTACTGAAGCCCGCGCACCTAGAGCCCATGCTCCGCGACAAGAGAAGCCACGGTAAGGAGAAGCCCGCGCACTGCAACGAAGACTAGACCCCGCTCACCCCAACTAGAGAAAGCCTGCGTGCAGCAATGAAGACCCAACACAGCCATGAATGAATGAACGAACGAATGAATAAATAAATAATTTTTTTTTTTTTTAAAAGAAGTATCTTTGTATTAAGGACCTTTACCTTCGCCATCCTCGGTCTATGAGATCCTGATAATCCTGTACAGTCATGGAATGTGCCCACATGCCTGAAAAATAAGTGCCATGTTAATTACAGCAGGTGGAACTTTTTACTTTTTTAAATCCAAAGCATTATCTTTAAAATGTGAAAAGCGAAGCAAAAAAAAAAAAATCCAGCTCATATTGGAGAAATGAAAGTCTGCACATACTTCATACTTGTTAGCTTGACACAATACACAACACAAATGAAATACATGATGTATTTATCTTAAGTTTAAAAATCAAGCACACAAAGCGATCACATGCAATTCAGGATTAGTCAACAGTCTCTATGACATCATAGATTTAGGTCCTCACTGCAATCAAATTACATCACACCTTTAAGTCATAATAATATCCCCAATAATTTAATAACCTGGTCTCTTTAGAAGAATTAGAAAGCAAATGTTTTCTTGTGCATATAAATTCTCCTGATTTTTATTTGTTTACACCATAGTCTTACACACTGAACAAAAGTATATGTACAGCAATATTCCTTTTAAGTATAAAAACTGAAAGTAATCCAAATGCCTAGGTACAGAAACTTGATTACAGGGACTATGATGTTATCAATATGATGAAATAATTATGCAACCATGAGAACAATGAAGACTATGAAAAAACACTGAATTAATGATAAAGAAAAGTGAATTTTATTCTTGTAAACAGTAAACTGCACCAGCAGTATGTAAAGATAAAGATAGGCTTGACAGAGCAGGGCGTCATGAGAAAAGCACAGGCATGTGTACAACAGAAATGTCCAGAAGCCTGGTGGAGACCCATTAACACCCAGTTACTCCATGAGGTTCAATTTCCTCATCTGTAAAATAGGAATAGTAAAACCTACCTACCCAATAGGTGGGGTGCCCTAGAGTAAAGATTATTATTAAAATCGAGATGACAGAAATTTACAGTTATCTAAGTGAAAAGGTTGAAAGTAGGTTTTTTCCACAGAACTTAGAGAACGTCTATATTAATCGATTTTCTCTTACTAAAATTACTAGAAAATAATTAAGGACCTAATATTATTTTAGACATGTTTAATATAAAGTATTTGTTACATATATATTATAATCACAATACTAAGATTCTGAAAGAGAGAAGGGAAAAATCTCTAATACCCTAAGGCAACCACTGTCACCATTTGGGTTTTTCTCCTCCCAGAGCTGTAACCGTGTCACATATGTTATTTGCATCCTGCTTATGTTCTCCGTTTAACCCAAGACTCTGCTTTTTCACGTTAACTCATTTTCATCACCGTCACTAATGACTGCGTTATACTACACTCTACCCCCGCTCACCCACAAGATGCACCTAATAAACACTTTTAATTAGCGAGTAAACAGACACACCATAATCGCCCAAATCATTCCCCTACGGTAGGACATACATTTTTTTTAATACGGAAACCACCCCAATTTACATCTTCATAGACATCCCATTTTCCACAATGCTAGATTATTCTTTAAAATAAGTGTCTACTTTTGCCAAAACACGACACGGCAGGAAATAAACATGATGTTCTGTTTACAAACAAGAAATCTTCCGAAAGAAAACTGAATCATGGTGGGTAAGGGTACTGTAGGCTGGCTTTGTCGTCGTCATCGAGGTGGGTGGAGAAATGACACGGCACCCAAACACCTGGTAAAATTTTCAAGCACCTCGGTACCAAGAGGGCCCCTCGCCAGCAGCGACTACGGTCACTAGTTTCTTCTATATTCTTCCAGAGACATTTTATCCACGGATGCCCGCGCACGTGTGTTTTCCACACACACAGTTTTCTACACCAATAGCACCACCCGACACTCACTGTCCTGCACCCCGCGTTTTGCCCTGTCCCTCGGAGACACCCTCACAGCAGCATCAGCACTTACAGGTCAGCCCCCGTAACCGACCACGCCACAGCGCTCCCCAGCAGGCGTGCCACCAGGTACTTAACCGTCTCCTACTGATGATGGACACCTATTTCCACACTTGGCTACTGCGAGACAATAATTATTTCTCACGTCCGAGCACCTGTGCGAAGAATGAGCATCTAGAAGGTTCCCTGCTCAATCAAAGGTGAGGTCCGTTTTTAATTCCGAAAGCCACTGCACTCAGGGGGAGCCGCGTTCCGCACTCGCTCCACGAGACAGCAGCTGGGCAGGGGCTGGGCGCGTCCCTCCAGCCAGTCGGCCCGGGGCGCCGCGACCCCCGAGGACGCCGAGCCCCGAGGCCGCGGCGACCTTCCCCGCCCGCCAGCCCGGCCCGCTTACCATTGGAGCGACTGCCCGACTCGTTCTTACAATAGCCGCAGCGATAGAAATCCTCGCCCTCGAAATATTCCACGATGCTGGGCGAAAGCGCGGCCCAGGAAGCCATGGCCCCGACCCTCCAAACGCTACGCGGCCCAGCCCAAAGCCGCCGCCACCCCACAATGCACCGCGCCGCCCGGGCGCCCACAGCCCGGCCCTCGCCCGAGCCCCTCGGCGCTGACGCCGCCCGCGCCATCTTAACCTAGGGCAGCAGCCTTCCGCTATTTCCGCTCCTTCTCCGAGAAGAACCGCCATCTTCGGTGAGGATGAGACCAAGAGACGAAACGTGAAGGACAACGGTCTGGGAAGAAACGAGCGGGAAAGGAAAGCGGGAGTTGGGGAGCAGGGCCTGGGTGTTCCCTCGCGAGGGCCCGGACGCGGCGGGCGGTGCGGGGATTTGGACGTAAGGCGTCCGCACCAGCTCCATCGACCGGACCACTCACCGCAGGACGCTTTGCCCTCCTCGGAGTCGCAGTAGCCGCAGTAGTAGCCGACCTTGAGTCCCTTGTACTCCACCAACGAGGCCATGGCTGCCGCCAGGTCCACGCAGGCCGACCACGCCTCTCGGCGCCCCGGGGCCGACCTCTGCGGAGCGCTGGGGTCCGCGGCGGGGAGGAGTGGAGAGCGAGGCCCGGCGCGGTGCGTCGCAGCGCCGGGGGGCCCGGTCGGTATTGGGTCCGGGGGCCTCCCAGGATTAGTGGATCGTAGTCGTGCGCTCTGGTGCCGAGTTCGAGCCAACCCGTTGCGTTACTTCATCGCCAGTCCTTCCCACAACTGCGCGTTGATAGCCCTAATTTACAGATAAGGAGACTGAGGCACAGAGCTTGTGATCACCCTCTTTTTAGATCCTGCAGGTCTCAGTTCCAAAGTTACCATTCAGGCCGTCCTAGCCAATTCTAGCTTCTTCCAAACCAGCAAGCACTCACTTAAATGTCCCGTAGGTTCGAGTACACATGCATTCTGTGGATGGCAGGGTAAGTGAATTGAACACTTCACTCTTTTAAAGGAAACAAGTGTCAGAGCCAGTTGCTGCCTTGTTCCTAGTGCCACCATATCTTACGACTTCTTTTTTTGAAATTTATTTTTTTATACAGCAGTTTCTTATTAATTATCCGTTTTATACATATTTGTGTATACATGTCCATCCCAATCTCCCAATTCATCCCACCGTCACCCCAACCCCCGCGACTTTCCTAACTTTTAAAAAGAAGCTAGAGGGCTTCCCTGGTGGCGCAGTGGTTGAGAGTCCGCCTGCCGATGCAGGGGACACGGGTTCGTGCCCCGGTCTGGGAGGATCCCACATGCCGCGGAGCGGCTGGGCTCGTGAGCCATGGCCGCTGAGCCTGCGCGTCCGGAGCCTGTGCTCCGCAACGGGAGAGGCCACCACAACAGTGAGAGGCCCGCGTACCGCAAAAAAAAAAAAAAAGAAGCTAGAAATCAGATTTTTTTTCCGTACAGTTTTGAAATGTTACTTTAAAAGAATTTTTTTAATTGTACATATCAAACAACATTTATATAGGCTGAATTCAGCGCATGAGCCTCCAATTTGCAACCACTATTTTAAAGGGGATTTCTTAAAGACTTAAAGATTTCTTTCAGTGAGTACCTCCAACAAGGTAATATTCCTTATTCTTTAATTCTGTATGCACAGATAATTTAAGCCTGTCTGTCCTTATATTTTTTTCCCATCAACAATAAAGCTGATTATCTTTTTATGTTTAAAAAAGTGAAATCATGTAACTTGGAGAAGCAGGTAAACTTTTGAAGTCAGTTTCAACATTCTTGACCCTAAGGTCCACTATGCTGGATATGTGCCTATTTAAGAGGTTTGGTGGCAGAGTGACCTGTCATATCACTAAGCATCAGCTGTGCCTCACACAATGGGAAAGAACCTAAGGATAGCTATGTAGCATGCTGGAGGACCTTAGATTTATCCAGCTCCTCCAATCCTTAGATTTAAAGGCCCCTTACTAGATCTCAGTACCCATGTTCTTAAGACAGACCTCATCCGTTTTGTTCATTATAACAGATTTGACTATTTCTGGTGCTTTCCTGGACAACATAGGAAACAAAGGCCAGAGAAGCCAAATAATTTGCCTAAGATCACACAACTAGTAAGAGACAAATAGGCGGGGGAAAAGGTGATAAAAATAAAATTAATTGAAGAAGAAGAAAAGAGATCAACAAATACTAGGTTTGGACATGGGTAGGGCAATAGTTCCTAGATGTGTTTATTTTGCTGAAGGTTAGGCACAAAGTTTACATCTTCCAGGCCCAAATGAGAAAAATAGTGCAAAGTTTCATTTAGTTTCCATCTTTGGGGGCCGGGGGGAGCTGTAAGAGGGCACTATTAGAACATCCTTTTATTTATGAAATTGCCAGTAATAGATAGTTGTCTTTGTTTTTAATTTTCATTCTTGACAAAATGCTGGCAACACTAGCATGTTTGGTTCCATTAACATAGTTTATATAACTGAATGTGAAGTTGAGTTTGCAAAGCTTAAGAGTGAGGTTCAGTCCTAGGCACTGATGATGTGAAGGACTCTGCATGGTGATAGGCCCGTGATTCTTGAATTAAAGTGAAATGTGTTTCTCTTTCCTTCTGAAGAACGTGTTGTGAGTAGATAGTAAGCTGGGGGGTGGTGGGGAGGACAGTTAAATACAGAGAAGAGGGACACACTAGGAAAGAGCTGTGTTATGAGCAGAGGCAGGGAGGTAGATAGGAGCACCAGGGGTCTCAGGTACTGGTGGTGGTGGTAGAGTCCTAGGAGATGCTTTCCTCTGTGGGGCACTCACTGCCAAGAGACCTCAGATTAGACCCTTTCCCTCCACTGTCTAGACCTTTGCTCTCCGGTTTGGTAGCCACTAGCCACATGTGCCTACTGAGCACATAAAATGTGAATAGTATGACAGGGAAACAACTTTTATTTAAATTTACTTGAATTCTTAAATTGAGGCAGTATAGACAGCAAGCAGGATAAATGCCAAAAAATCTGCATGTAGGCACATCATATTCAAACTGCAGAAAATCGAAGACAAACAAAAATCTTGAAAAAAAAGCCAGAGGGGGGAAAACCCTTAGCTATAGAGGAGCAAGGATCAGAGTTACGTCAGTCTTCTGGTTAGAAACCGTACAAGAAGAAAGGAAAGTGAAATATTTCAAGTATTGAAAGAAAAAAAAGACCAGCCTAGAATTCTGTATCCAGCAAAATTATCCTTCAAAAGTGAAAGAGAAGGCTTTCTCAGACAAAACAGAAATGGAGGGAATTTGTCCTCACTAGACCTGGTTTGCAAGAAATGTTAAGAAATTCACCAGAAGGACAGAAAGTAATATATGTCAGAAACTCAGAACTACTTTATAAAAAGAGCATTAGAGAAGGAATAAATGGAGGTAAAATGAAATTTTTCAGAATCTTAATTGACAGATAACAGATGGTTTAATAACAGCAACTTGTACAGGGTGCAAGTTTATGGATAAGTGAAATGAGTGAAGCAACGTTATAAGGGGTGGGAGGTAGGAAACTGGGAATACTCTTATAAAGTACCCACACTGCCTGTAAAGTAGTTATTTGAAAAAGAATTTGGATTAGTTGTAAATGTGTACTGCAAACTCAAGGGCAACCATTTAAAGAAGCAAAAAAAGTATAATTGCTATGCTAACAGAGGAGAAAAAAATAGAATCATAAAATGCTTAATTAAAACCATAGAAGGCAGAATAAGAGTGGAAGACAAAAAAACAGAGCAAGAGCAACAAATTGAAGACAGTAACAAATATGGTAGATATCAATCCAATTATATCAGGGATCACTTTAAACATCAATGGTCTAAATATACCAATTAAAAGACAGAGACTGGGCTTCCCTGATGGCTCAGTGGTTAAGAATCCGCCTGCCAATGCGGGGGACATGGGTTTGAGCCCTGCTCCGGGAAGATCCCACATGCCGCGGAGCAACTAAGCCCGTGCGCCACAACTACTGAGCCTGCGCTCTAGAGCCCACGAGCCGCAACTACTGAGGCCTGTGCGCCTAGAGCCCATGCCCTGCAACAAGAGAAGCCACCACAATGGGAAGCCCGTGCACCGCAATGAAAGAGTAGCCCCCACTCACCGCAACTAGAGAAAGCCCGCGCGCAGCAACGAAGACCCAACACAGCCAAAAATTAATTTTTTTTAAAAAGGACTATCAGACTGGATTAAAAAATGAGACCCAACTATATGTTATCTACAGAAAAACCCACTTTAAATATAAAAACACAGATTAAAGGGATGGAGAAAGATATATTGTGCTAACACTAATCAAAAGAAAGCTCGAGTAGCTACTTTAATTTCAGATAAAGTAAACTTTAGAGCAAGGAAAATTAGGGATGTAGAGGGAGCATTACATAATAATAAAGGGTCAAGTACCCAAAAAGACATAACAGTCCTTAATGTGTATGCATCTAACACTGTTCCAAAATGTGTGAGGCAAAAACTGATAGAACTGCAGGGAGAAATAGAAGAATCCACTATTACAGAGACTTGAGCACCCCTCTATCAGTAATTGACAGGTCCAACAGGCAGGATCATAATTGAACTGAAGACCGTCAGTCAACTGGATATAACTGACATCTATAGAATACTTCATTCATCTGCAGCAGAATACCTATTCTTCTCAAGCTTACACAGAACATTCACCAAAATAGACCACATTCTGGACCATTAAAAAAGAAAGAAAGAAAAGAAAAGCCTTAACAAATTTAAAAGAATAGAAAGCATACAAACTATGCTGTCTGACCACAAAGGAATTAAACTAGAAATCAATAACAGAATGGTAGCTGGAGAAGTCCAAAATACCAGAGATTAAACAGCACACTTCTAAATAACACTTGGGTCAAGGAAGTTGCAAGAGAAATTTAGAAATATTTTGAACTAAATGAAAAAATACAACTTAACAAAATTTGTGGGATGTAGCATGAGCCGTGCTTAGAAACTTACAGCATTGAATGCATATATTAGAATAATGACCTCAAATCAGTAATCTAAGCTTCTACCTCAGGAAATGAGAAAAAGAAGAGCAAATTAAACCCAAAATAAGCAGAAAAAAATTACAAAAATTAAAGCAAAAAAAAAAATTACAAAAATTAAAGCAAAAATAAATGAAATTGAATACAGGAAATCAATCTAGAAAATCAATAAAACCAAAAGCTGGTTCTTTGAAAAGATAAAAAAAAGTGATGAACCTCTAGTGAAGCTAATTAAGAAAAAAAGAATACAAATTACCAGTATCAGAAATGAGAAAAGGACACCACTACTGCTGCCATGTACATTAAAAGAATAATAAAGGAATATTCTGAA